GAACAAAAGAATAAAGTATTACTTTATTTTACTGCAAGACAACATATTTTTATACTACATCATGAAAAAAATCATCTGCTCTGAATGCTGTCCCTGGAAAAGTAAGCAAACTACCTTTTTAAGAAGCGAGAAATAAAGTGCTCCTGAGTGTAAATAATTACTTGGAGCAGCATGTTACAAATACATGCTAATAAGAAGTAGTGTTCCTAAATTATCAGTTGAGGGAAGCCAATTTCCTTCTTGTAGTGATTTTCTTTTATTAACACTAATCAGGCTTATTTTGGAGTTGATAACAGACCTGTGCAGTGTGACGAAAGCTGTACAGCTGCCAGAGGTTTGTTTGACCAGTACAGGGAAGCTTCAGATTCTTATTTTGTTTTACATGCTATTGCTGTTTCTCATGACTTAAAACCTAGTTATCTACATAGTATGTTCTGCATAGAGGGAAAGGCAAGTTTGATTGCAAGGTTTTTTTTTTTTTTTTTTTTTTTTTTTTTTAATGCTAAGCTGCTCTTAAAGTAATGCTTCCCATTTTATTATGTCATGTTTTATTATATCATGTCCTTGATGCCAGGGGTGGGTGGTGATCGTATGGCATTAGAGGCTGAACTTTCTCACCAGTATTTCGTGACGTGTTGTTCCTGTGTGACAGATGGCAGCAGAGGGGCAGTCTGACAAAGCAGTGTCTGACACAGAAGTACATATGAAGTGATGTAGAATCGAGTTCTTCCATGTGAGGAGAACATTGCACCAAGTGACATTCATCAACTCCTGCTGAATGTTGATGGAGACTGAACAGGAGACTGAACAGGGACTGTGAGCATGGTGACGCAGTGGGTGGTGTGTTTAAGCAGTGGTGACAGCTAGAGTGGATCACTTCTGCTGACGCAGGTTTTGCCAACTGCAGTGTGCATGCTTTTGTTCATCACTGGTGAAAATGTGTATCCAGTGGTGGTGGCCATGTTGAAAACAGTGTTTTGTAGCTGAGAATTTGTTCTGTCAGGTGGTGGTATTGCGCTCTTTGTGCTATTGCTTATAGACAAATCAGGGTCTCAAAACTGTGTTCTTGGTGGTTTAAAAACCTTTTCCTTGGCAGTTATGAAGTGCTTAGTCATAGAGCACTGACTGCTCCATGCACCTACACCATTTGTCTTGCGTGCTTGACTTTGGACGTGAGTGAAGTTTCTTATTTATGAGTTTGACTTTATCTTACAAATAGGATCAACTTTCCAACTACTTTCTTGTAGCAGGGTTACATTTTTTGCTCCTCTATCAGGAGTCTGCCCATTCTTAAAATGGGTTGCCAGGGATGGTGTTCACTTGCTACTCAAGCAAGCTGGTTACTGAACAGTGGGTTTTCAGAATTTGTGAATATGATCTTTCTTTTATCACACAGGAGTGTCAAAATAATAGTGTAACTTAATCCATTTCTTTTGCTGGTGAGAATAACAAGTTGGTGCCAGAATCACCTTCTGCTCCTGAGCTCCATCTGTGGCAGTCCGAAGTATCAACCCTGCGCTTAGCTTTCTGCATCAACATCTGTGGCTTATTTCTGCCTCCCTGTGTTCAAATTCTGCCTGACCTTTGATTTTTGTCTGATGCTAGCTGAGATGTTGATGTACCTGTGCAAGACTAAGACCGGAACTGAGTCCGAGTGTGAATATATACTGGGGGAAAAAGAGTGGGCAAAGAGAGATGCTATTTCACAGGATCAGGTAGAAGTTGGTCAGGGTATGTGATGTATTAAACACCCTAGCACCAGCTGCAGTTCTGGATTGCGCTTCCACAGAGTGACTTCTTTACAGGGGCAGGGGTTATGACTTGCTTTCTCAGGGACGTCCAGCAGGGGTGTGATTGTTAAGAGATTGTGCAGCCTGTTTCAAGGTACTTTGTGGGACAAATCAGGACCTGCCTATGTGTCAGGTGCTTGTGTTTAGAAAACATTAATCCTTCTGAGGTAAAGGTCTTCACCCTGGTTTAGTAAACTTATTGTATGTTTGGATATCATTAAGTAAGTTATTTTTTCTGAGAACCAGACACATACTTGCCTTATGCTTCCAACATCACTGTGTTTCAGAAGCAAGTAGCTCTAGGTTCTGGTGGTTTGAGTTGATTGTATTCTAAAATATGTTGGAATCAGTACTTTGCTGATCACAAAAAGTCCCTTTTGACCTAAACAGTTCTGTAATGATTGGAGGGAAGAGGTTGTGCATTATAATGGAGTTGTTCATGGCTTGAAACACAAAAATAATCTGCTTGGACAAACCAGGTAATCTTGTTTAGTAGTTCAAGTGCATCTTTCTTATGTTAGAGCATTTGTGTCATCTGCATGAGAGTCAAGCAAAAGAACAGAGTGATGTTAGAGTATAAACGTATTCATTTTGCTGTTAAAATCAGTAGACATGGTGCTGAACTCTTTTTTTTAGTTCCCTAATAGTGCATTATTTTGTTGTTTCAAAAGATTGCTAAAGACTATCATTCATCTCTTGTAATGGATAATTAAAATAATAGATGATAATAAATATCCATAAATTGTAAAGTCCTCATTTTAGAGTGAATTACGTAAGTAGTCTAACAGCTTTATGATTGGCCTCTGTACATGCAGATTAAAAGCATGATTTGCTGAACCTATTTGTAAACGTTTCAGTGTTGGTAGCTGTTTAAGCAAATAGAATGCCTTCATATCTTCTGCCATTCTGTATTTCTATTTAGGGATGCTGTGCTGTTTTTTTTTTTCTTTTGTTTTTTTTTTCTGTCACTATGATGAGAAATTGATTCCCCACTCCATTTTTACTTTGTCTGAGCTTCTTTGCTTCACCACATAAAGATTCTGAGGAAAGCAAGGCATGATAGTTTAAATATAACATCTTTTTTTGTGAAGTCTTGTCTCTCCCTCTGAATAGTAGATTTGATTACAGGATCTTTTACTTAGGATTTAAATGAAAAAAATATATATATAATATAAAAATCAAACAACTGTTCCTGATGCTTGATTTCTCCAAATCCATGAGACTTGTTCAAACGAGTGGTAGTTTATTTCCAATATTGCTATGCTTTTCAAAATTAGGGCCACATTTTGCATGGGGTGCTGTCACCAAAAGCCAAAACCATCCGACTTCCTGCTGGAGGGAGAGGAAACACGGCAGTGGTGACGGGAGAGAAGCTTGAATGCATACCTTTAAATAAGGAATTCAGACTGTTTCTGTGGAATGCTTATTATTCTAATTCTGATAAACAGCTTTCAATATTTATTTGCTTTTCTGGCTTTCATTACAATTATGAATTTCTGAGATTCCTCGGAGTCTACAGGTTGCTTTACAGATAAAGCAAAAGCTGCTTGCAGCTAAGTACCTCCATAGTTTGAAAATGTACAGGTAGTTGAACCGTGAATCTGCTTGTATCTTGTGTGTGCCTGATTTTACTGAATGAGAATTAATGATGAATGTGCCTCCTAAAAAAAGGAAGTTAAGATTGTAAGGTGCCTACGGAAGTGGAAATAGTGTGTACCTATATACATATGTTAACCTAATTGAAGCTACTTTCTGGTCATTTATTCCAGTGGAAGATACTGAAAGGTTCTTTTGCACTTTGCTTACTTCTCGTGTTTAAAACAACAGGGCTGTTGAGTAGTCATGAACGCTGATGCTTTTGCCTGTGCTGTTGGCTGTTTGAAAGTGTGCTTGTCACCTGAAAATGTTAATGTCTTCCCCTTAGTCACTTACTTAGAAGTTAGAGTTAAGACAGATAATGCTCATCCAGCAAAAGCCCAGTCTGTGTTGACAAGGCACAAAGTTTCAAAGCACTGAACACCTATTTTCTAAACTGGTAAAATTCCTCAGGTTGTAAAAGATGAGAGAACTGCTATTTCTTCTGTGTTGCTTTCAAATGTTTGGCTACATGCAAGTGTGCACACAAAGCTTCTTAGTAACTCTGGTTTTAGCCAACTTACCTGGTACCATTGGTGGAACTGCAGCTTCTTTTAGTGACTAGTCTCATCATCAAAAGTTGAAAGAGGGGCAGTAGTTAGTGACAGTTTTTCTTTCTTTCTTCCTTGTTTTCGGTAGCTGGGAACTTAATGCAATCATACCTCCACTGTTACTTGAAGGGCAAGGAATAGGTTGTCATTAGATGTAAATATGTAATGCTTTTACTTATTTTTGTGGAGGGTCACTTGCCTCACCTCCTGTCTATTCAGGCATCTGTCACTAGGCTGGTCTCTGAATCAAGAGTAAATTGCAGGGCTTTAAAAAACTGCTTTTGTGTGTGTCTTTATCATTCAAGACTTAAAGTGCTTGTTTGTCTCCTGAATGGCATGAACCAGTTATGAAGTAGAATGATGGAAAGAGTGAGTCTTGTCAGAAGCTCTTAAACTTGGAGTGGTACCTGAGGCTCAAAATGGAGGTCTTGAATTCAAAGTGATTTTTTGCATTTGTAGAGGAGCCGAAAGTGACTTTAGGACTTGTTCTCAAGTGGTAATACCTCACGGCTAGTGGGAACATAACGCTGAGCTTGGACTGTGTCTTACCTCAATTCTACTTTGTTAAAAGGAATACTTGAGAACTCCAGGAATATCTTTTTACTGTTTGTGCGCTTAACAGCAAATACGGAATTCTGAAATGCATCAAAATTGTTTGTGCTGCCTGTGTTCACGATACAACAATTTTGGGATTGCTACCTTGTTCAGGCTTTGATTTCAGCCAATTGAAACCATCAGTTTCAGAGTGGTTATGTGAGAACTTGTTTTACAGCATTAAATATTCATCTACTGCCTTTTACATGTAGTGTTTCTGCAGTCGCTGTAGCATGTTCTTACATTGGCCTATTTTCTTTTGGTGTGTTACGTGGAAAAACTTCGTATTTTTCTTCATGATTTTCCTGTGTTTTAAAGATTGATTTTCTTTAAATCTCAGGCTTGTAAGCCAAAGAGTAACCTTGCATTCTTTTCTTGAACCATGGAAATAAAGATGCAAAACTAAGCAATGTGTTGTTTTACTTTTCAGCTGTTTACTGATGGAATCACCAATAAATTAATTGGCTGCTACGTGGGTGACATAACAGATGATGTAGTTCTAGTTAGGATCTATGGAAACAAGACTGAGCTCTTAGTTGACCGTGATGAAGAAGTGAAGAGTTTCCGTGTGTTGCAGGCCCATGGCTGTGCACCTCAGCTGTACTGTACTTTCAACAATGGCTTGTGCTACGAGTTCATGCAGGGAGAAGCCCTGGATCCTGAGCATGTATGCAATCCTGATATTTTCAGGTAAGCTTTTTACTTAATTATTTTATTATACAAGTTCTGTGAAGTATATATGACGTATTGTCAAATCCAAGGGATCTCAGGCTTAATTTATGAGCAGACAGAAAGTGAATGTTATTATAAGCCTGTGTGAAGCTGACTTTGAAACTTTCGTTGGTTCACTGCTTTTGCAAAGTTAATCGTGATACTTCACATACGAAAAGATGATCCTTGCTGCTCTCACAGAAGACTTCATACACATTAAAGTTTCACTTGTTGTGTGTGTTCAGTACTTGAATGTTGATGTTTGAGAAATAATTTAACGTGGTGCAGTTAGAGAGGCTGGGTTTCATTAAAGTGAATCCTAGCTCTATTTCTAGTGTATTTCATTTGTGAATAGGTTCAAAATGTTTCGCTGAGACGTTTTTTATGTTAGCAGCAAATAGGAAATGCTGATGTTTTAAGGTTTTTCTTAGCTTTTCATGTGTGCGCTGAAATGTATTTGATACCTAAAAGCTTCAAATAATTTAAATCAAGTCTTCAGAAGATGTGCAGGTCAAAGAGTAGACGTGTCAAATATACATGGTGTAGCTGAATTCCAGTTTCTGTCCTGTTAGTGCTTCACACATGGTACTGCTTAAAGATGTTATGAGGCTTTAAAAATGCTACCCTGTGGGCTGCGCTGCTCTTGTTTATGCTCTTGTTGATTTCTTTGTCGGATCTCTTTATCACATTTCTATTAAATGTTTTTGTTGTCCTCTCCTCTTGCTGGAGATGATAAGGGCTATTGCAAAAGTAACATTAATTTAAACTTTTTTTTTGAAGACTCATTGCCAGACAGCTTGCTAAAATCCATACTATCCATGCTCACAATGGATGGATCCCTAAATCTAACCTGTGGCTGAAGATGGGGAAATACTTCTCTCTTATACCCACAGAGTTTGCAGATGAGGAAGTGAATAAAAGGTAAGTGTTTGATCACTGTGTGCTTTCCTGATGTTTCATTTTTTCAGGGCGATGGATGGAAGATTATATATATAATTTTTTTCTAAAAAAATTCAAAAATTGGTTTGAAATCCAAAGTTAATAAAAGGCTGTTTAGAGTGACAGGGAGGCACAGTCAGACTTCAAAGCTAAAACTATAATTTGAAGGTGTATGTACAGAATCATCAAATTTCCTTAATGAGTAGATTCCAGCCTAAATGCTCTTTATAGATAAGTGGTCTTTCTAGAATTTCTTGGATATCATTGATATGAAGTGCTTTTCTCTCTGCGTTGTAAATGCTCTGGCAGTTGTGGGGTTTTTTTAAAACAAAATTCTCTACACAGGAGTAATTGAGAAATCTTAAAAATGTCAACCTAAGTATATTTACAGTTACTAAAGAGGAAAAAAAAAAAAGGAATCTTATTTAATCTGGTTAGATAAATATGGTATGTGCAGTTGTGTGTTGTAACGTGGGCAACAAGTGAATGAAACTCATGCTGTAAACTTTTTATCTGTGCTCCTTTAAGAATGTGCAGGATTGAGTTTAAATTCTATTCCTGAGTAGACTACTGTCATGTTTACAATAGATAATCTAAAGAATTTCTTGGGGAGGACAAAATAGAATATTGTCATAATTTGTCTGCAGTAGTGCTAGGGGAAATAGTGCCCCAGTCTGAGAGAACGTCTGTTGGATTATTTGAAATAAGAGTGTAGAGGAAAATAATTAAGTTATTTCATTACAGATGCTTGGTATGGAACACACTACTAAAAATTAACTCTCAAACTTCTTACACCTGAAAAGGTTTTTAAGTGAAATTCCAAGTCCTCAAGTTCTTCAGGAAGAGATGGCCTGGATGAAGGAAAGACTGTCAAATTTAGGATCACCAGTGGTACTCTGTCACAATGACCTGTTGTGTAAGAATATTATTTACAACAAGAAACGAGGTAGGTAGTGAGCTAAGCAGTAAGTAGTGGCTTAGTTTGTTTATTCTGTAGTTCCATTTGCTACATCAGTGGTGTCCCTTTTAATGTCCTTAATGTTGGTGAACTCAGTTTGAGCTTTTAAGACTCCATGTAATGGAGACTACTTTGTTGAATTAGTTGGTTCTCATACATGTTACTGTACAGAGAAAAATGTTGCCATTTGGTTTTATTTAATTAATTAGTTTTTCTGTAGCCTGCCTGCATGACTAGGTTTCAAAGTCTGTCATTGTTTATGATAATTCTATTCCAGTCATATGAAGGAGAAAAATTATACAAGTACAAAAAATAATCTGAAGACATCTCCTGTAATCTGCGTGGTGTTCTGGTTTGTGATTGTGTTGCTGCAAGGAAAGATCTTCATGACAAAGTATTTTGGTGATACTTAGCACTGCATTCAGTCATAACATCTATGTTCTGCATGAGGTACTTAGGCATCTTAGATTGCTTTAAATACATACTTCATTCAAACAGCTGAAGGTGTTTAGGTAAAGAGTAAATATATTTTTGATTATAAACTAACTCAAAATATTTTTAATAAAGAATGCCTCAAATAGAATCTATAAAGCTTCTGTATAAACTCAGTTTATTTTATTGGTTTGAGGTTCAGTTACTAAATTAATCAATTAAATACTATATTAAAATAAACAGAGAAGGCAAACTTCAAGATGCTAAAATGATGTGGTAAAATTGGTTGCATTTGCACAGCTTTCCTCCCATTTAATATCTCTGAGACCAGCTGAATGCAGTAAATTCATCAGGTTAGATATTCAAGATCCTTCTGAAATAAGGATCACTTGATCTTTTTAATAACTTCATTCTTTGCAACAGTTCAGTAACTGTTGATATTTCAGTCAAAACTGTGAAGTAAGTGACCAGGAATCAAAAAATCAGCATGGTGATTTTACGCTGGAATTGTGATATAGTACCAAAACCAATATGTTGTTCTTGTGTAGATTTTTTGAGTGCTGAAACTACTTGGGGTTTTAACATTCCTCAATCACCCATTGAGGTAAAAAGTAGTTTTTAGTCACTTTTCATGGCAGAACCATGATTCAATGTGAAATAAATCAGGAATCCCTCTAAAAGGCTCGCTCTCATGGTCAATAGACTTAAAGTTCCTACTTTAAAACAACTGCTATATGCTTTTCTTTTAGTAAACAGAATGGAGGAAAAAACAATGCCAGCAGTGCTTCACTTATGAGCAATCCTACCAGTGTGTGAGTGTTTAGTGTCGGGGACAAGGTGGGGAGGAGTGGGAGGTGTACGTTCTAGCGCTTTGGCTACAAGCTGGCTGGGGAAAGAAGACTTGGAAATCTGAAATAGGTAGATTGTTACACTTGTTTGAATGTTGCACCTTGTAAGACTTCTGCAATCTAGGTACAGCAGATACCTTTTTATAGTAACCAAACCTCAATGCCAGCTGTAGTATGTTTATGTCTGTCCTTTGAAAGCTCTTCCTTACTACATTCTTATTGTAGAGCAAAAGCTTAGTGAAGCTATTTGCCCATTAGTACAATCCTATGGAATGTTGTTTTTAGAAGTGGAGGGAGTCTCAACTATAATTCTACATATGTTTTGCTGGGGTTCTGTTAAGCACTGCAAAACCTTGTGTTGGTGTATACAGAACTTCATGAGCACAAAATAGAATCTTCAAAGATGAGCTTCATTAGAAATGGCACCTGGCTGTATGAAGGTAACTAACAGCTGTGATGATGCTGAGACTTTACTAGATTTGCTTTATCATCTAGAGAGACTTGTGTCAGCAATATCTTGGCTTACCCTAAATTGGAACTGAGGAGAAAGACTCAGTGTTCTAGATTAATTACTTAGTTTTTTTCCTTCTCTGTTCATTAAAGATTGAGCAGTGCTGGTAATGTTTATCTAGCTTTTCAGAAGCTGGCACAAAATAACTTACTGGTTTTAACAACACTGTATTTGTTGTGTTTGTAAATGCTTAAGTCATCTACTCAACATGTTTTTGTTTTTAAGCTGCAGGCTGACAACAGATGTTAAACTCCTGTCCAGTGCAGTTAGAATGATAGTAACTTATCCCAGTGCCTTGCTTTTAGACTTGGACTCTGGATTAAATTAATGTTAAATTTTCAGACTTGGAAGAAAAATTATAATTGTCGTGCTGCTTCTGAGAAGAATTAATCTCATGTCCTTACATTTTATTTATGAGACTGGAATAGCATGTTGAATGCTATTTTCATTTGCTGGATTGTAAGTTATCTGATTTGAATTTGCTCATGCTGTGACTGAGAGAATTTGGCCTCTTCTTGCTGCTTTGTTAATGGCCATTCTCAGTTGCTCAGGATATGAAATTAGTAAGTGTTATTTTACATAACTCATAATAATTATCAGTGTGAATTACTCATTGAAGGATACAACTCAGAACTTCTTGTTGCTCTTAATTGCAATTTGTACATCTAGATAATCAAAATATGCTTAATAGCACATTTATAGAGCTCCTGTTCTGATGGTGTTCAATATTTTTTTTTTAACATACGCTGGGAATATCCAAAATGTGTTCCAAAAGTACTCAAATCTTGCTGTTCAGAAAGACCAAATACCTGTGTTCTTTTGTCGATATCTGTGTTCTTTTTGAATGTTTTAAATTCTTCTGCCAGGAAGTTAAGTGTGTAGGTAGATGGCTAGTTTTGTTCTGTTTATTCCCTCTGCCTACCCAATGTTTTCTATGATCTTTGGTAGGAGTCTGTGGGTGCTCAGTGCTTCTGAAGACTGAGGTATGTTTAAGGCTTCTAGTTTTGATCTAAAAACCTATTTTAATTTTGCAAAGATATATTGGGTATTTATAATTAAAATTATTCTGTGGGTGTGTGACCCTATTTTGTATTTTCAGAAAAGGTAGTAGCCTGGATCACTGTCTTCTCTGAAGCTGCTGTGTAGGATGTTAGGGGCTCACCTGATGAGCAGGATAGGAGAGAACTTTCAATATATCATCCTGCTGTAGTAACTACAGCTAGTACTTGCTTGTTAAAGTGTTTACCTCATTAAACCATTGAAAATGAAGGGCAGCTATAGAGAGGTGTCATCACTCTCCTGCCTTTCTGTTCCCTGAGGAGATCAAACAGATGTCCTCTTGATTACCTTTTCTTCTATTTGAAAAGTGAATTCCAGGTGTATAAAACACAACATGGGTTCCATTTTGTATCTTTATACAATGTTAGTAGGTGAGACTGTGTTGCCTACTGTAGTAGGCACCCTTTGATGAAAAGGATAGATTGTGCTTGAAAAGCAAATATTCTTCAACAACTTTATTTCTTTTAGCAACAGGAGCTGCTCCAGAGAGATGACAGAGCATAGTTTTAAGTAAAGTCTCCTTCAATAAAACACAGATCTGCTCAGACTACTGTATTATTGGTCTCCCTGCTCACATTGATAGTAGTGGGATGTACAGTTCACTATGTTTCTTTAAAACCTGGAAGCAAACTGCTTCACTGTAGCGTAACCATACCTTTAGAAGTGGCTTTGCAGTATTAACTGCAGTAAATCTTTAAAGGAAATTCTAATACTGTGGATATTTAAACAATGAGAACGATGCTTCTTCTAAACGAAGGTGGTTAAAACTCCATGCTAGCACAAGTCTGAAAGAGATTAATAAGAATGCAGGATCTTTTCACTTTGGAGTTTTGTGTTACCACATATGAGTTGCCAAACTTTCTTCATCTATTATGGATCACATGTGCCATTGTTGCTGCCTTGTGATGATACGCACAGTGCTACATAAGTGCACTGAGCTGATGTTTTCTCACATCTCTTGTTTTTGTGCCTCTCCATTGGAGAGTGCCTGGTAACAGCATCATCTGTAGCTTGTTAGATTCAATTTCTTATTCCGTAAGACTATTATTTATAGTAAAAATTAAATTTTGTCTATTATTAAAAACAAACATAATGGCGCATACAGGTATGTTTCAAGATGAAATTTAGATATTGAAGAAATTTATTTTAAGATATATCTTATGCTGGTGCTTTACAAGCAGACTTTAACCTGCTGTGTTTTTATCTAATGTGGGGAAAAGCTGAATACATCAGTTTCTGATGATGTTAGGGTGGGGGGCATCAGGAGGTCAGTTGTGTTGCGGAGCATTAACCAAGGTTGGGCGGTACATTTTGACTGGCTTGTAACTTACAGGTGTTTGTTTTTGAAAGAAGTGCTAAAGAACCAATGAGAAGCACAAGCACGTGCAAGTGTATGAATCTGCCAGTCGAGTAGCGGCAGAAGTTGGTCTGTGACACTATCATAAGATCTTGGCTGCATCTGCTGTAAAACTTCTTGTCCCTTCAGACCCTTCAATTTTCCATTGCCAGCAAGATTTTCCTGGGAGGAGCTTGCCACTTTGCATTCTCATGTTGGTTTGTCAGAGCCTAAAAGGTTTAACCTCATAACTTTGGTAAGCAATCCTCTTTTTCTGTGGAAGCAAGGGTAAATCTGACTTGGAGGATTGTGACTAAATGATTTTGTTAGTGTTTTGGGGTTTAACTACTATTATAAGTGCTTAGACAAGAAGATGGATGCATCTGGAAAACATAGATGTGTTATTGTTTCAAACATGCTAATGATGAACTGCGTAGACAGAAGGAACACTTCTAACAAAGTTGTTCTGTGTTAACTTGCTTGGGCTGTTTGCCTGATAGAGCTATTGTATTTGATATGTGCAATATTCATAAATTCTTAGGAGGCATAGTATTAGATTCTTAATCCTCAGCATAGAAAATATCTAGTAGTTAACTTTTAACGTTATTCTTAATTTGCTTTTTTGGTAGAGATATAATAGCATTAGTATCTATAAGTTTTCTTTAAGTGATGCTAACAAGATTGTTCATTGTAACAAGTATGTTTTTATAAAGTAAATATGCAACTAGTCATTGAAAGAGTGAGCGTAGAGAGGCAGACGAGTGCAACTGTGAACATTAGCCACTTCACCACAGTGTGGAAAATGTAAGCTTTTACATTTTAAGGTTCCACTGTGAATAGCACACTACTTCCCTTTCTGTTGCTCCCTTTAAATGAAAAAGCTCTAATTTTATGTAGTTATTCAAACTTGTTGATGTCTTTAAAGCTTTCTGTGATGTAGACGTGCTTGAGCAGGTTCAGTGCTGTATTACATCTTTGAGTGAAGCACTTTTCCTAACTTCCCCAAAGATAACTACTGACTAGTAAAAAAAGTTAAGTAATTTAGGAACATTTGGGGCTGATACCACTCTGTCAGTTCTTATTTACACAATAGTAGGTAGCTTCATTGTTTTAAGCATTGTCTTACCAGTATCTTGAGAGTAGTTTAAGCCAACTTAAAACAAAAAAGGGGCAACTATTAGAAAAGTCTTGCTTTATAAGTGTGCTTGAAGAAAGCAAGGAATATCAACATACTAAAAGGAAATAGCAACCAGTTGCAACATGTTAGTCTGCCATGGTTGCACACTTGTCTTAGGACTGTAATTTTTTAAGTCGGGGAAAAAGTGATCTGTGATTTCTATGTAAAGCTTAAATTAAGGCTTCTCTACCATATTTCTCATTTTGAAGGTAATTGATGCCCTCGTGTGGTAGAAGTTAAAATTCTGCTAATCAAAGTTTAAAAAAAAAAAAAGAGCATTTTAAGCTCTGATTATTAAGAGATCTCTTGAATGAGTATTCAAAGAAGTCTCATACCTTAAAAACAGTATTGCCTTGTAAAATCTGAGTGCACGCAACTGGGTACAAATAAGATAGAAATGTGCTTTTTTTATTTGTTTGTTTCCCTAAAACTTCAAAGGACACCAAAGGATTAGGGCCATGATTTCGTTTGATGTGGACTCTGATGTTGCTGCTCTTGTCTCACATAGGTGATGTGCAGTTCATAGACTATGAGTACTCTGGATACAACTACCTGGCTTATGACATTGGCAATCACTTCAATGAATTTGCAGGTAAAAATTGGATTTATGAGGTGAAGTGGACACAAAAAAAAAAACTTTTAGTTGTCATTCTTGTACTGCGTTCTGTTTTTCATTCTATATCTAGATACATGCATGTAGCTATTAATCTAATGGTCTAAAAATGTGTTAATGTCTCTACTAGCAGGCCAGTTATGTCCTTCCTTTACAGCTCTCAGGTTTTGCAGCTGATCTGTGAAGTGATGCAGCAGAGACTCAACACACTGTAATGAAATACCATGATGTATCTGCAACAGCATAAGTAGTTATTTAATACATAGAATATGCTGTGTGATCACAAAGTTAGAAATGGCAGACTTTACATTTTTTTTCAGTAGTTTTGCATTTCTTTGCTAAGTACTTGCCCTTCAGTTATGTACTAAAATGAGAAGTAGAGGCTAAGAATGTGGTTGGAAAGAGTGTCAGATTTTAGCATTAAGTTATGGATAGATTCATTCATTTGCTACTTGAGTTTCTTCTGATAAATGCCCCTTTCTTTCACTCCGTAAGAGTTAAATAACCTTGTTTATGCAGTGCTACTTTAGAAGATGGAGTGATAGGGAAAACATACACAATTATTAATATAGGTGGAAAGTACAGTGTGGTGAAATTAGGAGCCTTTGGTTATGTACCTGTCATTGCTTTTCAAATGTCAAGTTCAGATAACTTAACCAAGTATGCTCTTGACATTTTAAAAATTTAAATATTTAGGAAACAAGTTAAATTCTCCACAAAACATATTTAAAAGCTTTTGATTAATTTCATCTGGAACTTTTAAGAGTCCAAGTATATCTTTAGGGAGGTAGGTGCAGTAAGAAGACTACACACAAGTCATGTTCTTTTGCCACTGACAAGCAGCTGTATGTCACCTTTCCTGTGTTTGATGATCAGACATCAGGAAGATTTTAAGTACCAGGAGATTGCAGTGGTCATAAAATAGAACTGGAAGAGAATTAGGTACGAAAATGTCATTGCCATGGACATAGGTGTTAGTAGCGTGTATGGCCACAACCATCTGGCCATAAGTAGTAGTGTAGATTTGTGGCATGTAATCTGCTGAGGTGAAGCTACTTGTCCTGTGCAAGAAAGCTGTGTACTGTAAACTCTTTCCTGATGCATTTGTACAGTAGGTCTGACATTTCCTTAGTGTTTTTCTGTGTGTTATATGTCAAATCTAGAGTTTCCAGAGTAGAGGGGTCCTATTGCATATGCTTTGTACTACTGATTGCAAATGTGCTTTCTCAGGAATAGCATGTTTAGTATCTAGTTTACTGAGCATACATACTGCTTTAGTCTTCTGGAAGGTGAAACAGAGGAAAGGAGACCAAGAGTATTTTTCAAAGGAAGAGGTGGTGTGGCTAAGAATGACTTCGAAGCAGGATTAAAAATATTTTTCCACATCTTCTGGGCAGTGATAAACTGTGATCCAAGTCTTGGGACTCCTGGTAGATTGTGTGGCCTGCTGTTTAGAATGTCTAGTATAGACAAATTTGGAGCTGTGTGCTGAAAAGAACAATATGGCAAGAAGGGAATAGTTACGGAGATAAGGCTTGTAGTTCTATGTATGGGGAGGCAGAGTAGACTGCTCTAAAGGTTTAGTCTTACAGAGATGAGCTGACAGCATGTACATATCTGGATTCAGCTTTGGATAATACTGCATATGAGCTCCTATTTTATGTGCGGGAGGATTTCTGCTTTGCAGTGCAGATTTTTTTTTTTTTTTAAAGATTTGCTAGAGCTAAACTTGTTGCATTTCAAAAGAAATGGAGTGTGCATGTAGATGAAAACGCCATAAATCTTTCTGTGTTGAATGCTATGTGATTCTTGTGTGAGAAATTCTTGCCAGCAAGTAACTAATAAAATCGTATCAAAGTAAAATTATGTCTTTTCATATCAATTTATGTGTTTGTATTTGTGGGGGGAGAGAGGGAGAAGCAGTCGCAGGTACTGTGATTCTAATGGTCTTTTTAGATACTCTAAGATTCAGATCTTTTTTTTTTCCCTCCCATAGGAGTAAATGAAGTAGACTACAGTCTTTATCCCAACAGAAAATTGCAGGAACAGTGGCTGAGATCTTACCTCGAGGCCTACAAAGAATATAAAGGATTTGGCACAGAAGTCAGTGAAAAAGAAGTTGAAGTTCTATATGTTCAAGTCAATCAATTTGCACTGGTAAATAACAATCTGTGGATATGAATGTTAAATGCTGTATTTTTTCTCTGTGGGCAAATAACTGTCAGTTTCTTAACCTGAGTGCCGTGTTACATAAAGAAAAACTTCTTAGCTCGTTCTGTGAATGTTTTCACCACTTTGTGTGTTGGCTCCAAGCAAAAGGGGCAGTGAGTGTTCAGAGAAGGTGATGAATTTTTTTAGCAAGTATAGCTACTGGCTGGCAAGTCCCTGTGTTGGCAGGAGCTTATGATGGGTCTATGCTGAACTCCTAGTAAGACAGCAGAAAAACAAGGTAGAACTCCATAAATATGTATAAGTCTTCTGATTTAAAATTTTTTCAAAGATGATTTTTTGTTAGTGTAAAACTAGGATTATTCTGACTTTTCTAACGAGTGATTAGACCTCTCTTTAGAATCTTTCAGTACTACCATAATTCTTTCCTTCCCTTCAGTGTTCTGGAAAGCTGTGTGATTTAAACTGTAGCAAAATGCATATGCAGTCTTAAGGGTCCCATGGGATTTTCTGAGGGCTGACTGTGTGAGTCTGTTCCCCTGATAGTCTTCTATATTGTGTGTCATACTATCCCCTCATACTATCTCCTGTCTGCTGTCAGTCTGTCTTCTCAGACTTCAGATGTAAAAGCTTCATTTCATTTTGCTTTCTTCTAAAAGTGAAACATGCTAAACTATTCTTAGGCTAACTAAGGCTAAAATGCCTGTTAGATCTTAATTTAATTTCTCTTTCTAACTAATCCATACACACCAGAAATGTCTTCAATTAGGAGATTATCAAGCTCATGTTCATTGTGTTTATTTGTTTGGAAGTTCATAAACAGTCACATCATTCATAATAGTTTCAATCAGAAATTGAGCACGGGCCTCCAGGCTGTCTGGACAATCTGGGCTGGTAAAGCAGTCATGGTTGAAACGGGTTACAAACGTGTAAATGGTGAGGAGCTGCTTTTCCGTAGCTACAGATCATGCTTTTGTCCAAGTCAGTAGTGAAAGTGAGTTGTGGTTGTTATAACCTAGGGGCATAATCAAAGGTTCAACTGGAATTCTCTATATACACTGGAGTTGAATATATGTAGGATATTAACAGGAAATTGTTTAATAAGTAACAGTAGTGGCAGTTCTATTTCTATTAACATGATGTATATAATTACACAACAATTTACTTAATAGATGATGAACTCTCTCACAACTGCGGCATCATTTTTCTTGGGGAAAAAAAACCACAACAAACGTAGTGTCTGGAGGCCAAAAATTTACTCTGCCAGTAGTTTTATAACACATATCTGTCTCTTTGATGAAGACATACTAAGCAAGTTTACAAAGATGGATTTGGAGGGAGTTCTCTTGGAGATGATTCTTTTATTTCAGTGTAAAAATGCACTTAAATATGCTGTTATACAGTGCTAATCTTTCCTAATTTTTTGCCATTAGGCTTCCCACTTCTTTTGGGGATTGTGGGCTCTAATTCAAGCCAAATATTCCACCATTGACTTTGATTTTCTAGGGTAAGTATGCTTGCTTCATATAATCATACAGTAATTGAGGTTGGAAGGGAATTTTGGGACCCTCTGGTTAAGTTATCCCAACTATCATAATCTGTGAGGTTTGAGGTGTCTGATCTGTGTGGTTGTACTGTAACTTCTGAACTGAAAATAAGTGTAGACAGCTTTTATAGTCTTTTTTTCCTTTCTCCTGAAAACTTTCTAAATTAATATATGCCTTTGGGCTAAAGTAGTGTAACAAGGCAAGGCTTTTAACTAGAGGAGCAAATGCTTTTAAGAATAAAAGGCTTTTTTTGAAGAGACAAAGACACATAAGCAGACCAGTCATTGTGCTGTGCTAGTTGTCAGAAGATGTATGTCCCCAACTGCGAGAGTCAGGAAATGGGCCTCTTGTATAAAAAAAGTTAGCTTACATCTTATTGCACAGAATATTGATCTTAGAAATTCTGAACATTTGGAAAAGATCCTCTGTAATGCCAACGAACATTACGTTTTGCCTACTGAAACAATGGCTAATGGTTCTGTTTCACGTAGATGTCTGTGGCTTTTTGTTTTTAAAGTCTTCCATCACAGCAAGCAGTAAAGGATATCTGTCTTTTGTTGGAAACTGGCAGGAGTGATAAAATCCATCATTTCACTTTAGTGCGAGTCTCTGCTTGAGTGGAGGATATTTTTTCGTTAATGACTAAGCCAATTTACTAGCCTTAGTTGTGCTGCTGTGTAGATGATGCCAATGTGAATTTCTTGTGAGGCTTTGTACCCAGTTAATTCCAAGGAGAAGTGCTTCTAAGTAACCGCTAGATGGCGCAAAAAGCAAGTAAAAGCACAAGTGAGGAGACCCAGCCGTGTTGCGGTTCAGAAAAATAGCATTCTTCCAATGAACAAGATTTTTTTTTTTTCCTTTTTTTTGGGTGGAGGGATGGAACTGTAGCTGTCAGTTGTAGGGCATTTTATTAAGAACAGTAAGCATGAAGATGGCACCTCTGATAACACTCAAAATAGCATTTGTTTTGCAAACTCCAGCAAGCTGGGAGGAGTGGCGGATTGGTGGTATTGAGGAAGTACCTTAGTATGGTTATTATATTCTTCCTCCTTTGGTAGGTGCTATGGGTTAGTATTTGAAACAAGCCTCTGGGGTAGCTGAACTTCTGAGTAGACCTAGCCTGTCTGTTTCTCATTGTCTGCTCTTAACTTCAGATTTTTTTTCCTTTAAATAGGTATGCAATTGTTCGTTTTAACCAATATTTCAAAATGAAGCTGGAGGTCATGATGTTAACTCTCCCAGAGTAAAGAAGAAGAGTAAACTTACCAAGTGAATAGAGAATCCCTGAATCTTTTCTGAACGGATACTGGAAAAAAAGTTAAACATTTGTTGAAGTTCTGTAATGCTCACTTGGTGGTTCTTGCTTTATAAATAATGCCTCTAAACAGTCCTTCAATGTTAAATTTAATATGAAGAGCATACGTACTGCTGTTGATATAAAATGGATTAGAAATTTGCTAAATCTGAAAAACTTGTAGAAATGGCAATTTAATCCTTTTTTGTAATTTAACATGTTGTATGTGAAATATTTATTTTAAGTTTAACATGATTCCATTGCTGCTTTCATCAGTTTTTGTAAAAGTTGGGTGCAGATGGTGAAGTTTTTCCAAAGGATTTGTTTAACAACTTGTTTTATTGAGCTGCATTAACTTATATTAGGATCTACACAGTCAGAGGATATCAGCCTTTTAGATCTGTACAGTCAAAATGTGAGATACTGGTCACAGGTGTGTAGTAACTAGGGGAAAAGGTTAGGATGATCTTTTTAAGTTTTTTTTTTTAATTTTATAAAGAAAAAGGTAGCTTTCCATCTTATGGTACTTATCTTTTGTATAAGAATCAGCCTTCTTGCTAAAGTGATAAATGATGTTTTGACTTTCCTTTCTTTGTGTTAAGCTGTTGAAGCGTGAATGTTCTGTGGCCATCAAATTCTTTTAGACTCCATACCATCACAGTGTTAGATGGGAAGTGTACCATCTCTAACTTCTGTGGGAAAGCTGCTTGCTTATTAAGCGTACTTCTTAAACAAAAGACCACTGTTCAAAATTTGTATTATTTTTTGAAACTTGATTCAAAATTTGAACACTATTCTGGTCTCTGATATGCTTCAGCAGTATCTGGCGAAATGGACTATTGAACTGCAAATTAGTGAGCAGAGATCCTGTTGCACTGGGGAGCAAGACACTTAGGTTTACAGTTTGTTATATTGTATATTGTCTTCTGCTTTGTCATCATCTAACCTTGGATTCTAGTCTTAAATGCTTGATCCTGTTGTTGCAAATTCTGTGAGTCTGTTTTTCTTCTGTGGCAGCAGATTATGTTTCAAAATCTCCAGTTTGAAGGATAACATGAAGAAGTATGACTTGAACAATGGGACTTTGATAGTCACACACAGCTTTTTAAAGCTATTATACCAAGAATGGCCTGGATTGCAAAATGTGAATTGAAAAGAAAACGTTTACTTAAGAAAACCATATGTAAGCTTAAGTGGAAAAGAGGCTTTAAAACTCTTTTAGAAGAGATGGGGAGAAACAACAAAAATAAAACCAATAAGGCAATTTGGAGTTGGGCAGGCATATACTCAGCTCTTGGGTGTACTCTGAAAAACTTTGCACTTTGGTCACTTAAGTGCCCACATGTACAAAGTCTGTGTGTGCATATACACATGCAGTCACAAACTTAGCTGAGGAGTAAATATTATGGGGAGAAGCTCCAGCAAAGATATTTATTCTAACTTGCTTTGTGACATACTGTTGTGTGTGTGTGTATATATACATATAAATAACATATACATACATGTGTGCTTTAAAGCTTTTTTGATTCTTTTAATACAAAGAAGGTTGATGTGAATGAAGAATTTTCACCTTGAACAACCATTTTGAATGGCATTTTTTCTTTTTCTTTTTTTTTTTTTTCAAATAAAAGCAAGGGTTGGTTTTTTCACTCTTGTTTATATTCATCTCTGAAACTTTTCTTTTTTGTTGTTTTTTAATTATTTAGTCAAAACCTTAACTGTAATGCAATGGTAAAACTGGGCTTTATTTTTTTTCTGTAACTTGAAGTTGGATAACCCTTTTTGTTAGCATTTGCTAGCTGGAGGCTAATATACTGGACAAACTATCTTGGTAGTTAAATAGAAATGAATAGCTAAAATTGACATTTATATTTTCTTTTGTAGTGGATATAGAGGATGTTGCTAGAGCTCATGAAAGCACTGAAGATTCTCATTTTCTGTAGTTTCCCCCTGTAGGCATGATTGACATATATTGAGTAATAGCCTGCTGTCTTTGTAGTCCCTTCAAGTATGGCATGATCTCTTTGGAAGTAAGGTTGATAAAGATTTTAGAACTTGATTTTTTTGTTTATTTTCTTCAAATGGTGTCTTTGTTTCTGGCAATGTTGCTTTGTTTTTAAAAATGTGTAAGAGGCTGTGAAATTCAGTTGGTCTTGGGAAATCCAGCACTTGACAGATCCTGTCTAACTTTCCCAACAGCTTGCAACCCACATTCCCTTTTCAAGTACCAGTTCTATTTAAGTTTGAAATCAGTGTAACTTTTTTTCATAGTGTTTTGTTTATATAGTTCAAGTAGCAATAACTGTAGAAGTGGAAACTTAGAAACTTGCTTCTGCAGAACCAAAGCTCTTTGTGAACGCAGCTCAATCTCATTCTTATGGAATTAATTTCCACTGAATCTCCCATAAAAGCACTTTCAAGCAGATAGTAAATACTGCAAGCTTTTTCTGAGCCATTTTGAAGAAGCACAAGGATTATCACAGGTTATAGTGGTCAACTTTGCAGTACTGATAGAGGCTTTCATTTTGCATGTTGAAGTTCATTTTACACACTTTAATACTGCTTTGCATCAGCTTTCTTTCAAGACAAGTACAGAATAAAACAATTCCTGATACAAGGTTCGGAGAAAATACTGTAAACTTTTCCAAAATGAAATGCCAGTTACCTTGATTTTTGTACCACATCACATTTAGCCAGTAGCACTCAGATATTCTCATTTGCAACAGAATATCTACAGATGTATTAAGTTTGAAGCAGTAGTTGTTTTCAATAGCATTGCAAATATTGAGGTAGCTCGAAACTGTGAATACAGGACATTCTGAATGTAAGTTAGGTACTAAAGCACCAAACTAGAGAATGTGTACTTGTTCTGATTAGTTTCTCTCAGTCTCTTAATAGCAACGTTAAGATATTTGAAGGAGGGCAAAAAAGACTGAGCTCTAGAAGCATCCTGTAGTAGTTTTGACTGTGACTTGCCAAGAAGATACTCTGTTGCCTTTATGTTAAGCTAAGGGCATAAATGCCAAAATTAATAATTCTTATTGTAGTTAAACCTGTAATGTAAATATAAAGAGGATTATTAATAATGGCATTCTTGCATAAATAGCATCAAGTCAATAGACCATAGTGGCCTGGTTGCTTTTGTAAAGCAGAATAGTGTGAATTTTTTTCTTCTCATTTCTGCAGTCAGATCTGGCTAATCAGTGCTTAATTTTTTAAGTCGTTTAAGCATTACAGATTTCTGAGTAGCTGATCTGTTCTTACATAATTTTAAATTCGTTTATACGTCTTGATTTGCATTTTGGAATTACCAAATTCGTATTAACCAGATCTGACTGTGTATGTATATAAAACAGTGTAAATAACCATTTGTAAATTAGTGTGAATTGTACTGTACCTTGCTTTTATGGACTTGTGTATTGCATTGTATTCTCTCCTATTTTGTAGAAATTTTGATGTAAAGAAGAAATCTAACTCTGTGTGCTGACTTCTTTTGTTAAATTTATCTGTAACAAAGCATAGTAGTTACGTTCAGGTATCCATTTATAGCCTTGGACACCCTGTGTCTTTTTTCCCTGCTACCTTTTTTAACATCTTGCTCTTGGGAATGATTCTGGGGAAAAAAAAGTAATTATACAATGCGCTATAGGGAAGGCTGTTAAAATTAAAAAAAAATCCTATACATTCTTGAATGCTGGTGACTTCTAAACCATAAGCATGTTGAAGTACTCTTAAGTGTGCGCTCCCGTGTGACAGCAATTGAGTTAGTTGTGATAGAAGTCTCCGAATTTAAATGTTTTTGGTGGATATAGACTTAAAATAGGATTAGTTGCTAACTTGTAAATGCTTATAATAACCCCCTCAACCTCAGATCACTCAAGTGGTTCTACCAGTCGCTTTCGTTCACACTAGAATTATTGTTAGTTTGCTTAGACTATCTGAGACTTAGATGAGCAGGTATTTTTCCTGTGTGCACTGCTCTCCCTCTGCAACCTCCAAACCCTAATTCATTAGGGGAAACATGATTATAAAAGCTTCCTTTCCATACTTAATCCATATTTTTTTAACTGGAATTCTGTTCTGATTTATTAGTATATGACTCCTCATCAGAATTATTTCGTTTGAAGTCCCTTGCTAAAGAGGCCTTTGACCTTGGAAGTGAACCATAGGCAGTTGTTGTCCCCAGATGGCCAACTGTATTTCATTACTGTTGCCTTTCAATACCAATCTTGAACTGCGTGATGTCCTACAAGCTTGTCCGTAGTGTGTTTTTACTGGAAAACAGGGGTGTGTGAATCTTGTTGTCCATCTGACAAATTGATCTTGATACAGTTGTCACATGTTGTCAGCTCTACCTGCACCGGATGAAAAGTACACATGCTTATCAGCGTTGACAGTAAAGTTACTGAGGATCCTGGGAAGTGAGCTGGTCATAGAAGTGTTTGTCAAGAGATGGGTTGGGCTCAATAGATACAGGTAAAAGGAAATCCAAATGGAAATGAGAACTTCAACTTTCAACATGGCAAGTTATTGAATACGCCTATTGCATGGTGTAAGGACAAGAGCAAATGGGTAAAGCTTGTTTCCAAGTTAAAATTTTTTTTAAACCGTTTGCTAGCTAGAAAAGGCTTACACAATTATTAATTCCTGCCAAAAGGAATCTTAAGGTAACTGCTTTTCTAATTATAACTTTGCTCTGTAGCCCACTGTAATATGATTTCTTGCTCAGGGTAGTTCTCCCTGTAGCTAGTAGAAGAGGTTGACCTCATCCTATCTGTTTTGTTTTGGGTTAGCTATCTGTTCTTCATAGATATTGTTTTTTCTTTTTGTATTTTTAAATGTGTTCGCAGGTGCATGTGAACATGTAGACTTCATGCTGAATGTTTTCATTAGATTTAAGAGAGATGAAAAGCTGTGACCTTTGGTCTTGCACAGTATAGATCTTCTGTTAGCCAGCCACATAACTTAGGGGAACTCTTGGCAGTGAGAAGCCACGAAAATTTAGGTGGGGTATGTCAGAAGAAAGCAACGTTTGTGGCCTTTAGACCTCTGGAATGGAAAGGAAAATGTGCAAATTGTTTGCATGTGCCAGTTGTGTGGAGGTGCTTAAATGATGTGGTGAGCTGCTGGCTGATTTTTTTTTTTTTTTTTTTAAGTGACTTTTCTAAGTGATTCATCTGTACAGTTTTAAGTTACTGTACCTAGAAACCAGCCAAATTAGGGGGGCAGAGAGGGAGGAGACATTCTAAAATCTGGGCGCAGTTAATTTGCAACCCTTCAGGTGCACGTTGGGCCTTTTCATTTATTTAACAGTGTAGATAATGTTGTGCACCAGGTGGTTCAGTAAGGTTTTATTATCCTTGATAAATGTCAGAAAACTGACTGAATGTGGGCTGGGCCTGAAGTCAGAGTATATGTAGTCAGACCTTAGAACAAGTGGCCAGGCTTTACCAGATTAACCCCCTTCTGATTCATAATTTTACACTGTTTGCTTCTGTAGCCTTCTGAAAAATTTTGAGCATTTGTCTTGGATTCCCTGTTGAGTAGAATTTTAATTAACAGCCCCCCAAAATACGTGATGCTTATGGACCTTAGGAAATCCTGGTGCCGGTTAAGTCATGTGAACATTTAGAAAGCACATTACTTGAAAATCTAGTGAACGTTAAAAATAAATGGTGAAATTACTTCAGGTACTGCACCAGTCTTATGTTCTGTGATGTTGCAACTGCATCTTTTTTCATGATGTAGTATTTTTTTTCCACATAGTAGAGATTCATGCAAAATACAAGATGAAGGAGACCACAGAAGAGAAGCATTAAAAACTGTTACATGCAGTCCCGTAAAATGCAGAATAGATTGGGGAAAAAAGTTTCCTAGCTTTTGGTGGTAGTAACTGTCAACTGTTATACAAAAAAAAAGAAAAAAAAAAAAGAAAAAGAAAAAAAAAAAAAAAGAGTAGTTGTTGAGTCTTAAGTGTGTGACAGACTTTTTTTTATTTTATTTTTTTTTAATAGGTAGAAACATTCTTAACATTTTGTATCTCAAGTACAATCTGTGGTAGTCAGTAATGCTGCTTTGTACACAAGTGCTTTGAATAGTCTCAGCACCAAGAATGTATCCAATCTTTAATATAACTTAGATTCTTTAGTTCTGTCTCAAGCGTCTTAATCCAGCTGTCTACAACCCTTTAATTACTTGCAGAAACAGGGCCATAGCATAGTAGGGATATATTCCTCTTTGTATCTCTTTTTATTTAAAAAAAAAAAAAAACAAAACAATATTTGCCAGTGTTCTTTTAAACATGAGTCCATTTATGTGCTGTGAATAAGTTAAATTTAAGAAGCAACCTTTATCTTCTGGCACTGTCATCCCCCCAAATGTCCCCATGACCCTTTTTGTATGTTGTGGAGTTTAGGTGCATCACTTATCCATTGGAGTGAACTGTATTTCTTTTGAACTAAATGTTATTGAAGCTCTATTATAAGGCCTTCTACCACTGATTAAATGAAGTAATGTACCTTCAAAAGAGATTTATATTGTGTAAATAATTTCAAACTGCAACAATAAAGTTTGTTTCTAACTGCACTATTAGCGTGTATGGTGGTGACTTTACTTTCCCCAGATTTAAAAAACTGTGGAATACTTAAAGAGTTGTAGGCTTTTGACTTCTGTTAAAATGCATACCTCTGTCTGGGATTAATGACCTACCTGAAAGTGCAATGCTTTGAGCTAGTGCTCTGCTTGCACAATGTTGACTCTTAAAATTTTTGCATATTAAATAGCCTAGGTTATTTATTAATATTTTCACATCTGGGAGGCAGGACTTTATTGAACATGGCTGTCAGTAGGGATCACTACTGAAGAATTGGGGGAAGAAGTCCATCCTGACGTCAAGTTCTACTCGTGCACAGTAAGGGCTGTGCTAATGACTTTGTTTTATAGGCTCTGCCTCCAGTGCTAGGGGCATAATGTTAGGCAGTTGCTTGGGGAATGTATAATGAGTATTAGTAAAATTCTGCTGCCTTCGTTTTATTCGTGCAACTGTAAAGACAGTGATTTCACCAAAGCAGAAACTATTTGGGCTTGAGTACAAAGATAGGCTGAGGGAGCTGGGCTTGTTCAGCTTGGAGAAAAGAAGGCTGCAGGGTAACCTAAATGCAGCCTTTCAGTACCTAAAGGGAGCCTACAAAGAGCAGGGGAATCTATCCTTTGAAAGGGTTGATAACAGCAGGACAAGGGGAAATGGTTTTAAGTTGAGGGAGGGAAGATTTAGGTTGGATGTCAGGGGGAAATTCTTTACAGAGAGAGTGGTGAGGTGCTGGAACAGGCTGCCCAGAGAGGCTGTGGATGCCCCATCCCTGGAGGTGTTCAAGGCCAGGTTGGCTGGAGCAGGGGGGTTAAATGAGGAGGTTGGTGGCCCTGCATGCGGCAGGGGGGTTAGAGATTTATGATCCTTGAGGTCCCTTCCAACCCTGGCCATTCTGTGATTCTGTGAGCAACCTTAAGCAATTGACCACTGTGAATTTATTGAGGGAAACATTGAATCAGAGTTTGTATCTGTAATGGATCTTCCTTCTCACTGAAAATTTCTCTCCTACATACACTAAATAGAAAATTTTAGTTTTCTTAGGTCTAGTGGGCTTGAGTTACCAGTCATTGTGTATGTTGGAAGGTATGGATAGAACAAGCAAGTCCTGTTGAGTGCAAAAGAAAACATACCATTGAGCTTGAGAGAAACCATTAACCCTGCTTTGTAGGATAGTTGAGATCCACGCATCTTGGTTTAAGTAGATTTTTTTTTTTTTTTTAAAAAGGTAATAATTCCTTCTTAATTTGGAAGACCTCTGCCTTTTAAACTTACTGGTTGTTTTCCATTAGTGCAGTGGTCATACAGTAATGTTCCGTATGCACAGTAATTGTGGCCTGAGTCTCTAAAACTTCGAAGCATTGCTGTCACTGACCTAAACCTGTGTCTTACTGACACTAGGCTTTTTGTCAAGGCACTGTTTCTGTTACAGGATGGGTAAGACCAAAGTTGTTTTTCAGTTTAATGGAAAACATTCAATGACAAGAGATCTAGGGTTAGTCATCCATGCAGAATTGCTGCCTGGAACAAGGAGATGATGTTTCTCTGGAGCCTCTGTCTTGGCTTTACAGAAAATGCTGAGCAAGCTCATACTTGAGCTAGAAGTTGTCACTGGGGAGTAATACAGAGTTTTTTGAAGGCCAGTCTAGAAATCAAGATTTTGAGTAGAGCATTTTCCTCAAGATTTGTAACAAACTACAAACGTATGATAGGGAAAACAGTGGTGTATGTACTGAACTTCAATACAGTATGTATTGAAGTGTCAACTGTGTAAAATGTGCACCTGTGGAAAACAAAGGTTGGCTTTAATTTTTAAGTCTCTATCAGATTTATTAAATAGAAGCCTTTACTCCCATTAGCACAGCAGAGCCAAGTTGCACAGGAGTGT